TTACAAAATAAACAAGGGGCACAGTCGCTGTTAGGAGAATTTGGGAGGGATGTTTGGATGAGGAAACGGATAAGCTGGGAGAGGGGAAAGGAGACAGGGTTCTAGTCCAGAGTTAAACTGGGTGGTTCCCTCCAGAATGGAATGGCTGGTCACTTTAGCTCAGAGGTGGCACCCAGAGAGCGTGCAGCCGAAAAATAAACAGAGCTGAGCCTGGCAAACAGATTCAGGAGAGCCCCGGCCCTTTTCTCTGCCACTCACAAGGCTCTCACTCTAAAGGAAACTTTGCCTAAAGACAGAGGGAGACTTGGAGTTTCTCCTTCCACACGTAGGGAAACAGATACTATTCCATCGCTAAAAGAATTCTGGCCATCTGAGGCTTAGGTATTGTGAAAGTCCTTGAAAGAATCGACTAGTGATAATTGAGGTACATGGAGTTTCACTTGCTAGAGTGTAAATCTGTGAAACAAAGGGGTTAGACTGGATGTGGCCAGCTGTGAACAGATGATCCTGTGTCCCAGTGCCTGGCACGCAGCATGCACTTCGTAAATTCTTCATTGATTAATAGAATGTAAGCCCCTTGAGGGCATGAACTGTTCGTTTTTAGGTCTGTGAGCCCGGCACCTTGTACAGTGTCTGGTACATAGCAGCAAGTGCACAATAATTAATCAATAAACATTTATTAAGCACCTACTGTGTGTCAGACACTGTGCTAAGTGCTGGGGATACAAAAAGAGACAGAAGTCCATGATTGATTGATAGAATGTAAGCTTCTTAAGGGCAGGGAGCATTTCATTTTGCTGTTGCATTCCCAATGCTTGGTACAAAAGAGGCGCTTAACAATTTGTTGCTCGTTGAATTAACCCTTGGGGGTTCCTTGCACAGAGTTCCTTCATTTGGAATATATGAAAGCACTCTGGAGAGTCCAGTGGCTTAGCAGAATCAGGATGTGAGTTTGTTTCAATGCAACTTAGCTATGTGACCCTGGGCAAAGAACTCAGCATCTCTGAGCTTCAGTTTCCTCATCTGTAAAACAGAGATGAGAATACCAGCACCACACAGTGTCATTGGGAGCAACGTATTTTGCTTAGAGTATGATAGAAATGTGCCTCTCGTTATTGTTTAAGCTAATTAGATAGCGATTTCTCTGCCTTACGCTTACTTCCTAAGGTCCTTTATGCCTTACCCACTTAAGGATTTTGAAGCCAGGTCTGCTCTTTTAAAAAGTAGGTAATATTTTAATTAAAATCCCAAAGGCAGGCACAGATATAATCCAATTGCCTGGTTTCATAGGTACATACAGTAAACAGAGCTTCAGTGCTTTGAAGCTCGAGGAAGGAGGGACCATTAGCCGTGAAGGGGGTCAAAGACGTTTTCATGGAAGAGGAGCTAGTCCCTAGGATTGTAAGAATTGTAAAACACAGAGATTATGTTTTTGAGCCGGGGGAGGGGGCAGCACTCCGAGCAGATAGAGCTGTGTTTGCAGAAGGTGGCAGATGAAAGTACAGAGAATGAGCATGGGTGCTGGCCTTGGATGAACATGCCTGGCGCGTCATCCCCTAGACCTATGATGTTGGCAAACTGTTGAATTTCTCTGAGCCTCAGAGTTTGTCAAATGGGAGTAGTACTTGATGGGGAAAAGGGAGAGATGGTGACCTGGCAGAGAGGATACTGCCCTTAGAGTCTGGAAAAGCTGGGTTCGAATCCTGTTTCTCATACTTAATAGCTATGTGACCTTTGGCAAAGTACTTGACATCTTAGCCTCCATTTCCTCATCAAGACCTCCCTTGCAAAATGCTTTGTAAGCCTCCTAGCCTTATTCAAATATTGGTGGTCATTATTTTTAGTATTTCCTATTAATTCTTGGGATCTTAGATATTAGACCAGAAAGGACCTTAGATCCCAAACCCCACATTTTATAGATGAGGAAACTGAGGCACAAAGTAGTTAAGTGACTTGCATCGATAGGTCATACAGTAGTTGTGAGGAAAGTACCCCAGCACCATATATAGATATGAGCTATTGGCAATAGTAATTAGTCGTAGGATTTGCACTTTCTTAACAGGTGAGGATCCATATATATTGCCCCTGACCAGAGGGGCAGCTTGGGACAATAGAGGGAACACTGAGATGGGAGTCAGAACCAGGGTTCTAATCCTGCCTTTGACATGAGATTTTGGGCAAATCCTTTCTCTTCCCTGGGCCTCAGTTTCCTTATCTGTAAAGTGAGAGGGTTGGCTTTGTTGCTTTCCAACTCCAGATGGGTGAACCTGTGATTCTCTGTCTGGACTGTTGTGTTCAGGAGGACCACATTTTATGAGGGATATTTACCGACTGCAATGTCCCTGTTGAGAGTTGATTCGGAAGGTGAGAGGCTGGAGACCAGGTAAGGGTTTCTGTCTCGTGCCACAACAGCCCTCCCCCCTCCCTTACTCCGCTTCTCTGAATCCCTTGTTTTCTTCAGGCCTAAGATCAAAAGCACCATCCTTCCGCTAGAACCTTGATTTCCTCTGGCTGCTAATGTCCCTCCACCTTCGCCAGATCACCTTGTATCTGTTTGCTTGTCCTGTATACATACCTATATACATACATACATACATACATATATATATATACACACACATACATACACACACACACACACACACACACACACACACACACACACATATATATGTGCCTGGCACATATTTGGGACTTAATAAATGTTGATTGATTGGTTGATCTATTCAGGGAAGCAGTGTGGTGATACCACTACTAGGCTTACAGCCCAGGAGATCAGAGAAGGAGGAAAAGGCTCTGTATGGACAGAAACACTCTGGTCCTCTTTCTGTGGTGGCAAAGAACTGGAAACTCAGGCTGTGCCGTCATTTGGGGAATGGCTGACCGCATTGTCACATTTATATTGTGCCATATGAGATGATGAAAGGGAAGGTCTCAGAGAAATCCTGGAAGGTTTGGATGGACGGATGAAGAGGTGAAGCGAGCAGAACCCAGAGTCAGTTAGCACCTGTTAGGTGTCAGGCTCTGTGCTGAGCTCTGAGGGTGCAAATGAAGGTGAAAGATGAGCACAGCCCCTGCTCCCCAGGAGTTCACAGTCTGTTGGGGGGGCGTGCACACGACCGTGTACAAACAAGCCGTGTTGTTGTTCAGTCATGACAACTCTTTGTGACCCCATGGATTATTTTTTCCATGGGATTTTCTTGGCAAAGATATCGGAGTGGTTTGCTATTTCCTTCTCTGGAGAATAACCTTTTTTTGGGGCGGGGGGGTGTCGGTGCTCTCTCCACCCTGACCGGTCCATCTTGGGTAAACCAGGATGGCATAGCTCCTAGTTTCATGAGCTATACAAGCCCTTCCTCCATGACAAAGCAGTGATGCTGGAGGGGTTTTTTAGACAAACAGGAGTTGAGTGACTTGCCCAAGGTCACACAGCTAGTAAATAACAGAGACTGGATTTGAATTTGGGTCTTCCTGTCTCCAGGACCAACACTCTATCCACTTTGCCAACTAGCAGCTTCCACAGACAAGCCTTAGACAAGAAAAACTGGAGGTAATCTCAGAGGGAAGGCACTAAGATGAAGAAAGAACAATTTAAACAGTGACAATCACGTTGAAAGTCTTAAGAACATGGGTCAGTGAATCAGCAGTGGCACATGTCCACTTCCTTATAGGGAGGTTCTGGGGGAAGGGGCAGGGCTGTTTGTCTTGACTTAGGAGTCCATGACTGCCTCCGGGTATTGGCAGGACTGTCGTGGGGAAGAGGAATAACCTGGTTCCACCTGCCCGGGAGGGCCGAGCCCTCCACAGCCAGTAGAAGCTGCCAAGAGCCAGTCGTCTGCTGGATATGAGGCTACCCCGTCCAACGGTCACGTTCCCTAGAAGAGGAATGAGCTGCTGCATTTAAAGTCATGAGATCATCGATGTAGAGCCAGGAGGGACCTTAGAGGACTTCCGATCTATATTTATCAGTGAGGGAACTAAGGCACAGAAAAAGCTAAGAAACAGCCAGAATATGTCAGGACTTGAACTCAGACTCCTTACTCCAAGTCTAGTCCACTATTCATGAAGCCAGGTGGCCATTTGTAGAAGAATTGAAGGTATTCCCACTTAGGTATAATTTGAACTAAAATCATTATCATCAATATTAAGATTTATTAATAAATTATTATTAATCATATATAATAATTATTAACAATTGAATAGTAGTAGTAGTAGTAATAATAGCTGGTATTTATATAGTGCTAACGATGTGCCAGATACTGTGCTAAGCACTTTACAACAACCTTGGGAGGCAGGTGCTATTATTATCCCCATTTCACAGATGAGGAAACTGAGGCAGAGGTTAGGTTACTTGACCAGGGTCATATAGCTAGTAAGCATCTGAGACAGGATTTGAACTCGGGTCTTGCTGACCCCAGACCCAGTGCTCTCTCCATTACCTTTCTCACCTTAATCATTTATGGATTTAGAACTGCAATGGATCTTAGAGGGCGTCTTGTCTCCCCCGATTTTATTCAGGAGGAAACTAAAGCCCGAAGGGTTATGTGATTCGTCTCAGGTAGCCACAAGCAGAGCTGGGAAGTGGACCTTTCCACTCTGGACACAGCCCCCTTTCCTCTGGACCACATTGGCCCCTGAGTTTCCTGGTTTCTTTTATGGGCAGTGTCTGACCTCCTGGCTGTTTCCACACCAGCGCAAAGCTCTTATGCCTTGTTTTCTAAGAGGCGACTGGGGGCGGCTCCAGAGTGCACAGTGCTGGGCCTGAAGTTTGAGAGGACCTGAGTTCAAATCTAGTCTCAGACATTTACTAGCTGTGTGACCCCAGGCAAGTCATTTCACTTCTGCCTGCCTCGGTTTCCTCATCTATAAAATGGGGATAATAATAGCACTTACTTCACAGGTATAAGGACTGAGTACAATACTTCCATGTGCTCACTTAATACAGTGCCTGGCACGTAGTAAGCACTAGATAAACGCTTATTCTCCCTTTTTTGGTTTAGGCTTTCCTCGGACATTAACTCAGGCTGAAGCCCTGGACACAATCTGTCAGCCGGACCTCGTGATCAGCTTGAACATTCCTTTTGAAACGCTCAAGGACCGCCTCAGCCGGCGGTGGATCCATCCTTCCAGTGGGAGGGTCTACAACCTGGAGTTCAACCCCCCTCAAGTACAGGTGAGAGAGGCGGGTGCTGTCTGTCTGGGTTTCAGGGGATCATTTTACAGAAGAGGAAACTGAGGCCACGGTAAGCAGGCAGGTGGTCTGTCTGGTCTACACCTCTCATTTTACAGATGAAGAAACTGAGCCTGAAGGCACGTAACTAATCTGGCCAAGGTCTCGTGGGTCCAGGACCCAGGTCTTCCTGATTCCAGGGTCTGCTTTTAACATGGTGCCTCATTGCTTCCTAAAAGATTCTTCCAAGTAGCTGCGATTTAGCCTGACCCGGCATCTGTCTCTTGAAACACTAATGAGATCGTTCAGTTGTAGGCCCCTTGTGGGCAGGGACTTTCTCTTGCCTCTTTTCATATCCCCAATGCTTAGCACAACGGCTGGTGTAAAATAGGCACAAAATAGGTACTTCTTGTTTATTGATTGATTAGAATGCCGTTTGGTACACTGAGCTGCTTTGAAATTGTCATGGGGGCCAGCTAGGTGGCACAGTGGATAGAGCACCGGCCCTGAAGTCAGGACGACCTGAGTTCAAATCCAACCTCAGACCAAACACTTGACTTTTACTAGCTGTGACCTTGGGCAAGTCACCTAACCCCAATTGCCTAAAAAAAAAAATTGTAATAGGGTAAAAGTAAGACACAAGAGAGGGGCAGCTGGGGGGCACCATAGTGCACAGAGAGCCAGGCCTGGGGTCAAGAAGACTTATCTTCCTGAGTTCAAATCTGGCCTCAGACACTTCCAACTGTGTGACCCTGGGCAAGTCACTTCATCCTGTTTGCCTCAGTTTCCTCATCTGTAAAATGAACTGGAGAAGGAAATAGCAAACCACTCCAGGATCTCTGCCAAGAAAACCCCAAATGGGGTCACAGAGAGTCGGACACGCCTGAAATGCCTGAATAACAAGACATAGGATGGAAGGTTTCCCTCTTTGCTCCCTTGTCCCTTTTGGCATTCTCTCCTCCTACTCCTTCTCGCTGTCTCTCTGTCCGTCTGTCTCTCCCTCTCTGTCTCTGTCTGTCTCTCTCTTTCTCTCGCTCTCCCTTTGACAAAGCATGATTATTGTTATTTAACTCTGCCGTCCTTCTTTTCCGAGTCCTCTTCAGCCTTATTGGCCTTATTTTCGCATGTTTTATTTCCTTGATAACGTTTGTAACCTTGTGGAGTTTCTTTTCTGTGGTCTTTATTCTTAGATCTTAGATCTCCTTTCATCGGCCAGGTCACGATTCTCCCCAAACTTGGTGTTTCTGTTTCATCACTGCCTTGTGTGGCTCACAACAGGACCCTGCCGGACAGGAGTCCTCTGCAAATCAGTTTTTTGTCTCGTGTCAAAGTTCGAATGGCCGTGCCTTAGAAAAGGCCTCCGTGATTCCATGTCTCTTTTCTTCTTTCTGGTCATTTACGGTTTCCTCTCCTTGCCCCGCATTGTGGCTGGTCTCTTTTCGCTGACCACGGCTGGATTATATCTCTGAAATATCCAAGCGTGCCCTGAGCGTCTTCTGTCTGCTCCCTCGGTCTTCTGGTCACAGTCTGCCGTGTTCCATCCTGAAAGATTAAGACTTAAAGGCTGAAAGGAGAATTCCAGCATCCTCAAGGGTTGTTGGGTCTTTCTTTGTCACTGACGTGGAAGACCAGAGCGTCATCTCTGGGGGCAGTTAGGAATGGTTTCGTCACCAACTCGTCTGTAACCTTTTGACAACAGACCTCTGCTGTCCAACTTGGAATGTCCTCATGTTTCTCAAAGTGACCTATCACTGCTGAGAGTATTTATGGGTCTGATTTTTTATTCAATTACCAAAAGCACTGAATTGGATTTTCTCTTGCTGTTTGACCCGGTATTACATGGAAGCGCTCCCAGAATTTTTGCCCAGCATAGGGGAGTCAAGGAGCTCTATCTTTCTTGGTCAGTGTTGGAGATGGGGGAGGGGGCAGGAATATTTCTTAAAATTGATTTTAAATGCCTTTTCCTCTGTAAAGTGCTACTCTGTGATTTCATGCTGGCCTCAGCCAGTGGAGCTCTGGTTCAGGCTTGGGGGGCTCCCTATGCTGGGGAGACTCTGAAGGTAGCCCTGGCAAGACTTGCTGGTGAATTATTTGGCCATGGTGACCCAAGAAACTGACCTGAAGATAGAATGGTCCCTGGCCCTTCAAGCCCTGTTCTTCAGCAGTATCAGTAGGGGAAGGGGGGCATTGGGTACTAAGAATTATGCAGATTTTAGGATTAAATATAGAATAATAATAATAAATATTATAAACAGGAATCTAGCTTTTGGCAGCTACCAGGTAGTATAGTGGCTAGAACTCTAGACCTGGAGTCAGAAAAACTTGAGTTCAAATCTGACCTCAGACACTTAGTAGCTATGTGACTTTGGGCAGGTCATTTAACTACTATTTGTCTCAGTTTCCTCAACTTTAAAATGGGGATAATAATAGTATCCACCTCCCAAGGTTGCTGTGAGGATCAAATGAGATAATATTTGTAAAGTGCTTAGCCCAGTGCCTGGCACATAGTAGGCACTATAAAAATGCTAGCTGTTTTTATTTTTTTCTATTATTGTTATTGTTGCTGTTATATTCTTCATGTGAAATCCTTGTCCAGTGACCAAAAACAGGGCGTGCTTTTGGAAAAGTGGAATGGTATTAATCCTGACATTTTTTAGAAATAAACTAGGAGACAAAGATGAAGTTTTTGCTAAGCAGAAAGGTGGTGCGTGGCTGCCCGAGGTAGGATTCACACTCAGATCTTCCTACCTTCAAGTCCAGCACTTCACTTACTGTGTCACTGAGAGTGTCTGGTGACAGAAGAATAAGGGAGTGATTTTTTTTAACTCTTTCAGTTTTGGAAGGTTTTGGACATACTGAGTTACATAAAAACAATGTGGTGTCCCTAGTGAGTGGCTGCCCAGCCTGGGCTTGAAGACGTCCGCTGAGGGCAAACCTGTTCTCTCCTGAGGCATCATCACACCTTGGGACGGTTCCAGGGACCCCCACGTCATCCAGCCTACATCTCCTTATACTCACTGCTCCCAATTCCGCTGCTGGGGCCAAGCACGTCCCTCGTCCCGTCGGCAGTCCCGAAGGACAGCCCTCATTTTGTGCCCGCCCATGCCCTCCCGAGCTCTCCTTCCCTAGGCTAAACATCCCCAGTTCCTTCTTCTGTTTCTGGTCTTCATATGGCAAAGCCCATCTGGCTTTACTGTTTCCCACCAATAGAATGTAAGTTCCTTGAGGGCAGGGCTTGTTTTGTTTTTGTCTTTATATTCCCTCCGTGTAGTGGAGTCCCTGGGATGTGATGGGCACTTAGTGCAAAGTTGCCCTCCTCCTGGTGTCTCCCCACCTTACTGGTACCATTCCTAAGATATGGCTCCCGACACAGAGAGTCTCTATCAGGCACTGCCTTGGGTACATTAAGCTTTGAACCCAAAGTCCTGTTTATCCGGGTCCCTGGAACACGCCGATTGGAGAACTCTTGGTGGACGTCGGTCCTGATTCCCGGCTCTCACAAAGTAGGCCCTTTGCCTGTACTCCACCATCTTCTCCTCCCTTTGTTTCCCAGGCCTACGTGCTCTCATCAGTGGGTAGTTGTAGAATGTGGTGCCAAAGTCATGGATGCACGGGTGGAAGCCAGACCCCTTTAACCTGCTTTTCCTGCATTTCCAGGGAGTTGATGACATCACCGGCGAACCGCTGATCCAACGAGAAGATGATAAACCCGAGGCTGTTGCTGCCAAGCTGAGACAGTACAAGGAGGTTGCAAAGCCTGTCATAGAGTTATACAAGTGAGTGTTTCTGTTCTGAGCATCCCCATCTCCTCCCAGAGGGGAGTGAACTCTGGGAAGTGTGGAGCAGAATGGTCAGATCAACGCTTCCCCAGCCTGGGATGTGCCTGAGAAGCTGTTCAAGGCCTTGCCTGGCACTGAGTGAGTGCCCAGCACGCAGTAGGCACTTCACAGATGCTTACTGAATTGAGTTGCCAGGCAGGGAATTGGAAATTGACAATAATAATAATGATAATGATGATGATGATGATAACAATAATAACAACCTGCATTCATTTAGTTTGTCAGTGTTGGCGAAGAACCTTCCAAATGTTCTGTCTTCTCAGAGCCAATGGGTTTGGAGTGAGGGAACCTGAATTCAGGTCTTCACTCGGCTACTTTTCCTGCCTCAGTGGCCTTGGGCATATCGTTTAACCTCTTTGGTCCGCAGTTTTCTCATATGAGAAATGGGAGGGAGAGTTGGACCAAACAGTAGGTTGGTGCCACAAGTGGGGATACCGAAGCTTAGAGACATCAGACTTTCCCAAGGTCACCGGTTTGTAAATGTTAGAGGTAGAATTCGAATCTGGGGCTTTCTTGACTGCAAGTTCAGACCTCTGGCTCTTTCGCCATATTCCCTTTCAGTTTCTTAAAGTCCAGAATTAAAATGCAAATGAAGATAAATAGATAAAATAAACAAAGTAATTTGATATTAACTTCTGGCTCTCCTTTCTCCTAATCCTGATTACTACAAACCTACAGTTTTCTTTTTAATTCAGAGTATTCAAAACCTTGTGTAGCTGGAAGGGTTAAATCAAAGTACAGGATAGCTGTGGAGCTTGGTAGCTAGGTGGCACCATAGTGCACAGAGCACTGGGCCTGGAGTCAGGAAGAGTCATCTCTCTGAGTTCAAATCCGGCCTGAGACGCTTATTAGCAGTGTGACCTTGGGCAAGTCACTTAACCCTCTTTGCCTCAGTTTCCTCGTCTGTAAAATGATCTGGAGAAGGAAATGGCAAACCACTCCAGTATCTCTGCCAAGAAAACCCCGGATGGGGTCACCATGAGTCAGACGTGACTGAAAAACAATAGCTCTTTTTTGAGCTTCTTTTTTTTTTATCATTGTCACCATGAACTCTGTCTTATCCAAGGTTAAAAACTAGGCTTGTTTCCATTTTCTTTTTAAGTGACAGGGATAGTGGATTTTAAGCCTTCCTCCAGTTCTCCTATTCTTAGAGTCACAGAATCAAGGCGTATTTGAAATCTGCTCTCCAGCCACCTCGTTTTCTAGATGGGGAAAATCCCCAAGGCCCTAAAATGATGAGGTGACAGGGGCACCCTCTCCTGTTTCTGGCTGCTTCCTGTTCAGGGTCTCAGTCAAGTGGGGAGAATGGACTTCTGGAATGAAGATAAACTGCCATCAGGGGTCATGTTAGTGCCTCACTCTAGAGTTTTCTAGAAGGCTCTGGATTTGGGGCCCCACTTCCTTATCTGGAATTTCCGTGCACATCAGTGAAATCTCTCTCCCCTGACCTCTCCTTGGTATTTACTTAAGATCATAGGGTCTTAAAGTCATCCAGCCCACTTCCCAAATTTTACAGATGAGGAAATTAAGACCCTTAGAGATTAAATGACTCACCTGTGATCAGGTTGCTCAGGATTTGAACCCAGGTCTGTAACGTAAGCCCCTTGGACACAGGGAGCTATTGTCTTTCTATCCAGTGCCTGGCCCAGAAGTGGTACTTAATAAATGCATCTTGATTGAGATTTGGTTGTTGAATGAATGAACAGACACATGAAGGCAAGCTGAGACTGGTTGGTTTTGTTTCCCCAGCACCCAGAACGATGCCTGGCATGTAGTAAAAACTCATTTAATTGAATTGACCTTAAAGGACGCTTGGCCAGCATGGTGGCCTTGTGTGTGTTGGGTTTTTCTATCCTAATGACCTGAACTGTACCTGACCTAAAGTACCTGCACTCTTCTCAAAATGCCTTTATGCTTCTTACTTTCATAGCAAATACATCCCTTCCTAGAGAGCCTTACCTTGGAACAAATTGTTAAACCCCCCAAACAGTTCAGGAAGACAAATCAAACTCATCACTCATCAGCATGTCTTACCCATACTCCTCCACTCCTTCAGCCAAAGGAGGTAGGTGTAAGAGTATCATTTTTGGAAGAAAACCCAAACATGCCTTTATTTTGTCGTGCACCTGTCTTTCAGGACCCGGGGAATCCTCCACTCCTTCTCCGGGACGGAGACCAACAAAATCTGGCCGTATGTTTACTCGCTGTTTTCCAACAAGATGGCGTCTATTGGAGTGAAAACAGCCTGACAAGCCTGCAGCGTGGAAGAATGGGAGGAGGTGCTTATTCATTAAATTGTGTGTGTGCTATCGGTGCTGTGTTCAAATTGGAAGCTAATTGAGATCACTTGAAGCGCCTTCCTTGGTTGTCCCAGGGAGGGGATGTCAAATGAATCTGTATAGAGAGGTGACCAAAAATTAGGGCCCTCTTCCACTTAGGAAGGAAGTCTCAAAAGGCTTTAAAAAATCCTCGACATTGTCTGGACCCCCTCAATGAGAGCAGGCTGTCTAGGCACCAAGTCCTGGATGACTTATCTAACCTGGAACTCATTTGGAGTGGGCGTGTGGTTTTCCATCATGGCGTCCTCTGGGAGGTAGTGAGGGGTAGCGGTGGGACGGTGCCCCACAGGGCTGCCAAGCCACAGAGCCTGAGGACTAGGGGCCTCCTCCGACTGTGGCCCCATTTTGATCACAGAAGCTCCGCCTCTGTCTTCACCCTTGTAGCCAAAGCCATTCCCATTGAGTCTGTCAGATGGTTCGCTGGGATTCTGATTGATGTCCACTTTCCTTTTCTTCGTTTGGGATGTGAATGCCATCGCATCCTCCTCCAGCGCCAGAAGATTTTTTTTCCATGCCCTCTGAGAAGAGAGGCATAAGGACCCCTTCTTCCATTGTTCCTCAGCTTCGCCCTTTCCCAAGATGCCCGTAGCTAATAGTGGAGAAGGCTATCCCTTGGAAACCTCCTGACATCCACTTAGGATGGAATGAATAAACTCCATTCAAACCCCAGGGACTTGAGTTGTACATGAGAACCTTAAATTCCAGAGTTGAGATTCCCCCTGTGGCACCCAGCTCCTCTCCTTTCATGGAAAGTTAGGCCCCTCAGCATCCCACACAGAGTACCGCTACATCATCTCAAGTGCTGATGACCACATCTCAAATATTGAAGCAGTTTAAAAAATTACAGGGACTTCTCTAGAGGTAGTCTGGTATAGTGGATAGGGCGCTGGCCTTAGAGTGAGGAAGATCTGAGTTCAAAACCCCTTCCTGCAGATAGATACTTCCTGGCTGTGTGACCCTGGGCAAGTCACTTAACCTCTGCCTGCCTCAGTTTCCTCATTTGTAAAATGAGGGGGTCAGATGGGATGATCTCTGAGGTCCCTTTCCATTTCTAAATTTTGGATCCCACTTGAGTAAGAAGATGCTTTAGTTATTATTCAGAATAAACCATATTAGAGAGATGCTGCTAAATGTTAGTGCGGAGGACTGGGAGATAGGCCTGTAGCATATTGAAAAGGCACTAGAAGAAAACCTCTGCACTTGCCATGTCTAGACCACCGAGTATGATAGCTTTATTACTCCAGGATAGGGGGTATCCATATGGGGATGGGGAAAAGGGTCCCACGGGGTTAGGCCCCGATCCTTGTTTTCTTCTGGAAAATCTAGAAAATGCCATTTATTCCTGCTGCCTTATATGTCGTGAGCGTCCTCTGCCCATGACTGGGAGGAAGATTCTCTGCTAGTGTTTCTGGAAGGGACCCCTCCCCCCAAGGAGCCCTGCACACTGATGGGAAAAGGGACTGATCTCAGAGCTTCCGTCGGTGAAGCTGAAATGCGTCATTTACTCAGCGAAGCTTTCCTCGACATCTCATCAACACCCCTTTCATTTAATGTGTTAGCATCAGTGAACTGGAGATTCTATACATTAAAAAAATGACCCACTCAGCTTCTCGCCAAACTGTCTTTCCTTCCCCTCTCTGCCCTCCCAGTGGAATATATTAGTTGTGTTTTCTTCTGGCTGTCTTGATGGGGAGCCAAGTTTTCTGCTGTTTTATTGGGTGAGTGGGTGGGTGGCAAGGGAAAGGGAATGTTCATTTTTCTGATTTATGTGATTAAAATGCCCTGTGTGGGCTTCTGGAATGTGGTCATTGCATCGTGTTGACTTGGCAGTCCTAGGGGAGGAAGACTGAAGGACGGGAGAGAGCTCCAGCTGGGAACCAGGTGTATTAGCTACTCCTCGGTGGAGGTCCTCATGCTAGTGAGGGAGAAAACTGGGAACATGGCAGAACACCACCCAACAGCAATAGTAACAATAGCGAGTCTATGGAGTGCTTTTAGGTTTGCCAAATGCTTCATGCATATTTCATAGATGACTATCATCTCCCACCTCCACATCTTTGCACAAGATGTCCTTCTGTGCTTTCTCATCTTCTTCTTTTGGAACCCCTAGCTCCCTTCCAAGGCCACCTCTTTGATGAGACCTTTCCTGATCTCAGTTATACCTTTCTGCAGCCATCCCCTCTGGGGAGCAGGCTGTCTAGGTACCAAGTCCTGCATGACTTATCTAACCTGTAACTCATTTGCATGGGCTCCCTCCCATCACAGGGCATTTACTTTGTGTCTGCCTGCATCTGCTTATCTGTGAACATCGATGTCTATGTCAGAATGTAAGAACCTCCCCCAGCCTCAGTTTCCTTATCTCTAAAATGGAGACAATAGCACCTACCTCCAGGTTTGTTGTGTGGATCAAATACCACACTGTAAGGCACAACATAGGTGTTAGCTTTTAATGATGGTAAACTCCTTTAGGGCAAGAACTCACAGGTTCCCTTTTGTCTGTCTGCCCAGCACTTGATACCCGTGCTTGTCGCCTGGTAGGTACTTAGTAAATGCTTTTACTAGGAGGTTGTGAAGGATTAAGACGATTCTCTTTCAAGAGAAGAACACAAGCTTCAGCATTTGGATATTGTAATTGAAAGATTTTATTTTTCATTTCATTTATCCCGACTACATTACGTCCATGGAAATCTGTATGAGAAGGGACGTCACATTGTTTGGTGTGTCTGCTATCTCTCTTGTCACCATCCCTGACTAGGGTTGTTCAACCTCTGCTTGGCCACCTCCAGTGCTGGGACATTCATTACCATGGCATCCCAGGGCCAGAAGGAAGAGCTGTCCAGCACCACTGATGAGTTCAAGGTCAAACCTCTCCCTTTCCTTGTAGGGTCTGCTCCTAATATGCATAATCTTTGACTTAAGAAGGCTGGGTAGAACAGTAAATGGAGTTCTGAATCTGGAGATGGGAGGGCTGGTTTCCATCTTGGCTCTGCTCTCACTGCCTCGTAACCCCCTTGGGCCTCAGTATCCTCATTTGTAAAATGAAGGGGTTGGACTCAGTCACCTCTGAGGACCCTTCTGGATTTGAAATCTCTGTTCTTATGACTAGTCAGGTTGGGGGGGGGATGGGTGTTAACTGAAAAAAAGGTGGGGATATCTAGGTTCTATATTTCATAGGATATTTCATTCACTAAGCTTCTACGATGCGCTAAGCAGCAAGGACACAAAAAGTAAAGAGTCGCTTCTTGCAAAGAGCCTACGTTCTACAGAGGCGGTGTATTCAGATAAGTCATTTGAGAGGGAGAGGCTGGGAGGATAAGGGTCAGTACAAGCCACATGGTGGTGGTAGAGGTAAGTTGCTGGTGTGTGGGGGACCGTGGAGGTGGGAAATGGAATATCTCGGAGTTGTTGGAAGAATAAAATGAAATAACGTGTGAAATGATTTGCAAACTTTGAAGTGCTCCATACACTCACTGGCTATTACTAATCTTGTGTGCTGGGAAACAGTAGGCTGGTTTGACTCCTTGGATTACTCTCATTCCTGTCCCCTGATGGTCACTGCCATCAGAAAGCAGCTAGTTTTGTCCCGAGGGTGTGCTCTGGAAATCACCGGCTGCTGTTGTGTGCCTTAAGCAAACTCGGTGTTGTGGGGCTGTCCCTGCTTGGGTCTGCAGTCCCCATTGCTTGGCTTACACCTATTGGGGTGCCTGATCAACGCTGTTGGTTACCTATCTCTGGCTGCCCTTGTTGAAGGGCTTTGCATAGTAGAAAGAACACTGGACTCTGGAGTCATAGGATGTGGTTCATCTGTAGCTTTGTGCCTTGGGTGAATAACTTCAATTCTCTGGGTCTCAGCTCCTCTCTCAGTTAAATGAGGGGGTTAGACTAAATGGCCTTCATATTGCCTTCCAGCTCGAGATGCATGCTGCTATAGCTGAATCAAGTCTCCTTTGTGTTACCCCACAGTACCATGGGGAGCGGCGTCCTCAGGGCCTCAGTGTTCATTCACACATAGGGATAAGGACTGAACCTCATTGCTCTAGGGAGCTCCAGGAGGAGGACACTCCCTCCATCAGCGCAGGTGGGCACCCCTGCTGCCCAGGCCTGGAGTGCCTGTCACTGGAGCAAAGCGCAGTCTGATTCCAGAATTTAGAGCTGGGAAGGCCCTTGAACATCACCTACTCCAAAGGCCTCATTTTATGGATGAGAAAATGGCAAAGGGGTCAAGTGATTTTCACAAGGTTTCACGGGTCAATAGCAACAATAGAACATGGGTCCCCAGCATTCTGATGTAGTGTTCTTTCCATGACACTGGGAGAAAGTCCTTCCCATTACAGCCTCGGGCTCTCCATCCCAGTCTTCTTAAGTGTTGTCCTTGAAGGAACGCCAAGAACTCGGAGATCTCTTTAGCACCTTCTGCCACTGAAGCCACCTAGGCCAAGGGCAGTCTCTGCAGAGGGGATAGTGACTCCTGGGAGACCCTGGCCATCCACCTGGAGAAACTGCTCAGACTCAAAGGCCAGACTCCACTGACAGCATTTCCAAGTTCAAAATAAGTAAAGCCGGGAGGACAAATGGGGAAACTTTTTATACCATGGTACATGCATGGAATTAGGAATTTCTCAGAGGGTACATTATGCGGGGGCAAAAGAAGCCCAAGGAGAACTTCCCTGGTTTCTGTGTTTCTGAAAATATTTTCATTAGGATTCAAGTTATTTTCACAAATAAATTATTTTCCTAATCATACCCAATAAACTATATTCTTACACTTAGGCTACCTTAAGAGGCTACCTTATGTCTCATGAGGGTTCTGTGGCAACTGTCAGAGGTGGGATCTAAACCCAGTTTTTCCTAACTTTAGGTTCACCACTAGCCCTTCAGCCCAATTCATAGGCTCATAAATCCAGGCCTCTGAAATTTACTGCCTACAGGACCTTGAGCAAATTACTTAAACTCCCCATGCCTCAGTTTCCTCA